CCATTTTGAGAAGTGAATTATTAAAGAAAATTAAGGTAATTAACACTAAATTACTTGTAAATAACTTAATTACAGAAAGAAATTAGTGACTGAACTAAACAATTCTATTTTAGCAAGTTCATTTTCTCTTTCTCTAGGAGTAGAGCACATTTCACTGTCAGTACCAGTGCTTCAGGAACCAGAAAGCATTCTGACCCATCTGAAAAGGACTGTCCTTTCCCAAGTTCTAATCACAAAAGGGAAAAATATAACAAAACAAAACTTACAAGATTTCAAAAATGGCCCAGAAGAAGAGAAAAATGTAACTATTTCATACTCCAGCTAAAAGTCTGGCCATGTGTCAAAACAGATTCATGCCAACGAGATCCAGATTTCATCCCAAGAGCAATTAAATTCTCAGCAAAGCAGTTAAAACCCATCTGTCTCTTCAAGCCAGATTTCAATTATTATTCAGTAATCCTATGTCCTTATAATTACATTGATGCTCACTCTGCATATACGCAAAATACTGGCTTTTTATTTCAGTAAGAACTAACACAGCACAAAAATTCATATTTTCCTGGAGCCTACAGTAAAAAGGGGTCAGAGGACTCCATCTCTTTTGTCTTTTTGTAAGACAGGGTCTTGATATGATCAGATAATACAGGGAACACTCGTAAAAGCTTCCTGTCTAAACCTATTTGCCCAAATGAAATTGCTTTAAGAGAAAAGAAGAAAAACCAAATCACATCAGAACAACTTGTTCTCTAGAGAATATTAAAGAAAGAACTAGTGAAATATTTTCAGTTTAAATTTTTACTTCTTGCAGACTATTAAGCACTAGAATAGTTTAAAAACAAGCACATACTTCAGAAGAATAACAGCTCTATTATCTATCCTACTCTAAATGTAAATAAGGACTTTCCAAAAACATTCAAAGCCTTGCTCTGAACAAACACATATTAAAGCTTATGTTTCTCATGTGTCTACTTAATGCAATGGCTCAAACCTCACTACAACAAGAGAGCATTCTGGTTAAGCAAAGGAGCCACGAGACTCCAGTCAGGATGCATGTTTTGGGCTACATTGCTCACATGTATGGTGAACTGTATTTCCAGAAACTAAGAAAAATAACAGTCCAGCAAGGTTGATATATTAGACTAAAGTCCAAGTCTCCATTCCAAGAAACAGGAAAAAACATGTCTATGTTTCCTGCACTTCCAAGTAAAATGACTTCAGTCCTAAGCAGCTATTTCCAAGATCACAGCAGAAATCAGACACAGTCCTGCAGATGTGTAACTACCAGACATTTACTGAGGGACTGCCAGGCCTCTCAGCTGCTGAATAGGCACTGGCAAGCAAAATACTAACAGTCCCCTCCTTCAATGAAAGAGAACTCATCTACAGGAACTACAAAACTCAATCACTGGTTTCAGCTTGGCTCTGTAAATTGCAAAGTTTTGTTATTTGCAATCATTACAATCATGAGCAAAATCCAAACTTAGAGACACAGCAAATGTGTAAATCCCCATTAAGGTTTGTTGCTTTGTTGGTTTTTTCCCTTTCTTTCTGCCATATAACTTCTTATTTTTTTTCAAGGCTTTTTTGCTTTTAATTATGATGTAAGCTTCACTTCTAACCACCCATTCAGTGGCTGTGAAATGAAGCTCACATTGCTAAGCAGCTTTCTGCCACACAACAGTGAAGCAGCTGGATGTTGCAGTCAGTGGCTGAAACACAGGACAGGAGCAAACAGCACAGCTAAACACGAGTGAGAGTACATACAGACAAATATTGTTTATGTTGCTAATTTACAGAGCCATCAACTGCTCTGCTAAGCATCAGTCCTCTCACACAGAACTGAGCAGGAATAGCAGCAGTGATTTGGTACTCAGCAGCAAAGACCAGCTGATGAAAAGAGTATAAGGAATACCAACGAAAGCAATGCTTAGAAACCTGAAAGGAGTCCAGCAGTTAGAAAGTTAACCAACTCACTTGTTGCCCTCAAAACTGGAAATGGAACAAAAGTAGGGATAGTGGAATAAGTTATTTTCTGTTACATAATTAGAAATAATAAAAATGTTTTCATCCTCACAAAATATCCACACGTTTCCCCCCAGGCTGTAAGTCCCCACGGCACCACCTTATGATATTATTTAGATTTGTATCACTTTTAAACCTCTAACACTGGATTGCACGTTTTCTTCATAGCTGTTCGCTCAGTGAAGAACAGAAGGACTGTCCTAAAAGAGGCCAAATTTATTTTCTTCTTTCCCCACTGTGTCCTTAAAACCAAGATGTACTGGGAATAGCAAAGTTATCTGCTTTTCTTCCCGCAAAAATGGAGCAATAAGTTTGAGGGGCCAATAAGTTCCTTCCACTGCCTTCCTATGCTGGTTGTCATTCCAGGAGCTCAGTTAAAACCCCCTGTGCAAAAGCTGCCTTTTTTTCAAAGATGGTCCAAACACTCCGAATCTAAGATCACCCAATAGGAGCTGCACTGCCATCTATGGAAAAGTTTAGGAAAAGCATTTAGCTCTTAATATTTGTTGATACGAAGGAGGATACCGTTTAAAGGAGTAACGATACAACAGCAAGATGGAAACGAAAAAAAAGAGGCAAATTACATGACCAATTAGTCCCCATCTAGTTCCCTTAATTGCTACTCAGCCTCATTGCTTCTACTCACCCCAGCCTGTGCCACAGAAACTCCAGAACCAACGATCTGCTCTGGCGATTGCCCTGGAAACACTAAATCCAAGGGGCAGTCTGGCTGGCATTAGCTCCAGCACTCCAAACTCTTAAATCTGACTCTCATCAACTGGATTTTGACACACAGATATGAACTGCTTTTACCTCGCCACATGAGAAACTGCATAATTTGATCACGTATCTCCCAGCAATCAAAACATGAGATGTGTTGACTAATCACAATAATTATTCTCTTTTTTTTTCTAACCTGTCCTTATACTCCTTGCTTGCAGAGAAAAGGAAAAACATGGAACAAAAGCTTACAGTAACCTACCCAAGAACCTAATTCTTCAGAAATAATGAATAACTGCACCAGAAATTCATCTGCATCTTCAGATTAAAAATGATAATTGTTTATTCTTTAGGCTAAATAAATCAAATATATCATGATTTCTGCCAAAATCAACAAGCATAGGAAAAAAACCCACCAGAAAACACCACTAAAAGGCAACACAACACTTCAGAGCTACGTTTTCCCCCCTCAAAATCCAAGTTGACTGAAAATACATTTCTGCCTTGTAAAAACAAAACAAGTATTATTGATGTTTTTCTCATTTAGATAAAAATTCACAGTACAGTAAGCACTGAAATTCTGAAGCACTAGCAGGATCAAAATCAAAATGGGTGGAAACAACACATGACTTTCTAGATTCAACATCAAGCCTTACAACTTCTTCCTTTCTCCACCTCCTCAAAACTCAGTAAATACATTCTTCCATTTTTAAGCCCTCACTAAAAAATATTTAATTTCAATAAAGGAAGAAAGAAACCAAAATAGTGAACATCAAAGGCTTCTAATGTACCTCTGCTTACAACAGCTTCTGTCAATCAGAACATTGATCCACTATCAATTCATACACATGCACAAATTAATGCATGGAGGTCACATGTATCAAAACCCAGATATAGTCCAAAAGCATGGTAAAAGAAGCATCTTCCACTTGTTTGTTAAATTACACAGTACGTATCAAAATATCTATATTTATAACTTACCAAGGACAAAGTTTAAAAACTCCTCTCTTTTCCTGACATATGCAGACGTGTCTGTGGATAAGGGTGTTTGTTTTTGCAGTGGCCTACATTAAACTTAATTTTTCCCTATAAACACCAATAAGGCTATGAAACTGATACTACAAAAGTCTCAAACTGCTTTTCCAAGCTGGCCACAATTGCCACAAAAAGTAAATAACCATTGCTAAATTCTTTCAAGCCTGACATCCCAACATCAGAGGTTAAGACTGAGCAAACAATACCACAAGCAGGTAAAAATATATCAGGAATTCTTATGTAGTTATACTTAAAGAAGATAATTACATATCTATTTCCAATTTTCAGGAGCAATCTCTGCTGTTCTGCTCTTGGGCTGCAGCAAAGAACCTTACTAAAATTACAAATCAAAGCCTAAGTAGATGCCACAAACTCTGTCTGAAAGGGGTATCTACATTACTAAATGGCAATGGTGACACAGTGTCTGAAACACACATTGATTATACCAAATAGGTTTTGTTCGATGTTCTGATTGTTAATAATGTTTTATCATGTTAATAAAATCCAAGTTGCTTAATTCAAAAGTCTGTGCAGATAAGGGAATATGAACAGGACAGACAGTATTTTCCTCAGGCCCACCAAAATCCCAAGGTTGGCTCCCTGACCTCAGCTGGAGGATCACAGCACAGCAGCTCTCCATCCATCCCTCAGACTGAATGATGCTTCCTGCGGTTCAGCTTCAAGTTTAGCAACAAGAAAAAGGTTGTGATGCACCTTATGTATCACAGTTGAGATGCACATAGTCCTGCTACAGCCAGGTATCTACCTGAAAGATTCTATGCTCGAACAAACTGAGAAATCAAAAATCATCTTCAGTTCACAGGGACCCTCTAAGCACGTAGTACAGAAACAACACATGTAAGAAGTTAGAGAGGCAATAGCTACTTTCTTGCTTTTTCGCTCCTATGTTTAGAGATTGGTAGGAGACATTTAACCTATCGTTTGCAGAATTCTTTTATTTGTGAGCACTACTATGAGATTGCATAAGGAGTGACCTGTTTTGTCCTTACTTTAGAGAAAAAAAAAATGTATGTTGACAGCCTAATCAAGGTCACCAGTCCAAACAGGAGATCCTAAACAAAAAATTTCAAAAAGCTATCAACTACAGAAAAAAGAGGAAACAATTATCAAATTAAAAAACGCATCACTATTTTAAAAATACACTTAATTAGCAACAAATTTAACCCACTATAATCATTCAAGTTATGTGTATAAATACATACTATGCTGTTCATCTCTGAAGAGTCGTAACTTCCACACGGATGGACGCTTCCTATAGGTTCCAACCCTTCTTCATCCCACATATATGTGCCATCAGAGCTGTCAGATGGAGAAAGCTCAAAAGAGGAGCCAGCTCTATAGTTCATCTCTGAAGAAATGACATTCTCAGTTGTATGTTTTGTGCTTTCGCTGTTGTCATCCACTGCTTCAAGAGAACAGGAACAGTTAAGGTTCCAAAAACAATCCAATATTCAAAAAATAAATGTTACAATGTGTATTACTGGTGTGTTAACTTTTCTGAAACTATACTGTAAGAGAATATCTGAAAGCATTCTACAGTATTGTTCCCTTATCCTAGAGAGGAAAAATGCTTAAGCTGGCTTGGTAGCTACAACTAAGTATTCTTCCAAGCTACATCTTTGCTAACCTTTTAGGCTGCCCCAATTCACCCACAGTGAAAGCTACTTGCTAGAATTCTGTACCTCTTTAACATATTAGAAGGTGGGTCCAAAAATACATGCTTTGGATCTAGTCTTTCAATTGCAACATCTTTCAAAAGAAGTTTTTATCATGAGCAGCCCAGCGAAGACTTGAAAATGTGACTTTCAAAAGCATATTCTGGTGTCTTCAGCTAATGTTTAAAGAATTAATATCAGGAAAAACAAAAAAACAGCAACATTCCTATTTATAATTTATTTAATTAGACATCCTACACTTATTTACACCACTTAGAAGCAGTTACAGCTGTTCTCTGCCTACAGAGGTGGAGGGAGGAGGACTTGGAATTTTCTCAAAATATCACCATCTCAGAAAAATGAATGGCAAAGCAAGGATACAAGGAATCCCACAATCACATCACAAATGTGTTTAAAGGAGGTAACCTTCATTCTTATCACAGAGACAAAGAGCTCTAACGCTTGGGAAAGAACTATTAGGCAGGAAAGGCATAAGAAAACAAATATGCCAGCATAGAGCCAAGTTTTATTCTGAAACAATTCACAAGCAATGGGCAATTACATTAAATAACTACTGTCAGCGAATTTTGATTTAGTACCTAAAATTTCAAACAGAACATTAAAAAAAAGTATTTACCAGACACATTTATATCAAGCCACTCATCAGCATTACAGCGAGATCCTCCACTTTCCTTGAGAGACGTGAACGGCTCAATGGACGTGATGCTCCCGTGCTCTAATTCCTGAAGGCAGCTCTCCTTCTGCTGTATTTGTATAGTTCTGTTTGCATCTTCTATATCTATGAAGTCATCACTGAAATCTTCACTCAAATCATTCTTTTCAGAGGATGACAAAGAAGATATAGATATTTCATCTCCATCATCGCTCATACACATGACTTTCGACCCATGTTTTCCCAGACTTTCATGCAGGCCCTCATCAGATCCTGTTCTTTGAGCACTGCTCTCTATAATACTGTTTTTCTCAACTGCTCTGTTAACATTTGTTGAAATTTCAGAGCTCTCCACAGTATGTGTGTCAGGAGAGGTACTTTTGCTGCCATCCACAGCAGTATTCCCAGCAAACCGCTGCCTGGTAGGCTTGAGAAGAGAAGGACGACTTAATCTGTATCCAAAGGAAGGTGCTGACCCAGATCCATTTGACAGTGGGGGTTTCTTGGAACAAGGAGCTGACACACCAGAGTACGGTCTGGCAAACCCATACTTCATCGGTTCATTTCCATTGGGTACATCCAACTGACACGCATTTCTCAACAGCAAAGTAGACCTCTGAGACGTCCTGGCAGCCAGATTTTGACTATGATAAGGCCTTGTAAGATCCACAGCTTTATTAAAGGAATGTGACCTGGTTAGAGATGCAGTGGGAAGGAAAGAATTCTGAATGGAATGTGAAAAACTTTGTGATCTTACCATTTTTTCACAGGAAAAAGCCTTGCTATTGTCTGTAGATTGTGCTAGGCTTTCTCCTGAACTTGTCCTTGTGGCACTGGAATTAGCTCTAGGTCTCTGCAAACCTACCACTGGCCTATTTCCATAAAATCCATTTAAATTTGATCTTGTAGCATTGAGTCCAGAATATGAGGTCCTTCCTGGCAGGGTACCTTTGGTGAATTTAGCTGAACTAGAGAGTCCAGGTAAAGACTTTGGGGTTAATTCCTCGGTAGAAGATACAAACATATTGGTTTGCTTTGCTGCTTTTGACACAACCGAAGCAGGACTGTTCAAAGCCACCCTGAGCTCATCGTTGCCCAATGCTCCTTGAGATTGAGGATACTTCTCAGAATCGATTAATTTTTCGTTGCAGTTGCGTTTAGAGTTGGCCTCTCTGCCATTTTGATCGTTGAGCTGATATCTGTTAGATTTTTTCCAGTTGAAAGAGAAGGAAGACACGCGGCCAGTGCCATTGTGCTTGCCGAAATTTTTGCCCCCATGACTCCCTGCTAAGTTAACGGCTGTCCCGTTGGGCACAGGTTGCAAGACACTCCCTAAAGTTTTCGTTCCATATTTCGGTAGCCTGGAAACCAAGGATGTTCTGGTTTGATTTTTTTCTTCCATGAGCTATTTGGGTACATTGGTCCTTAAAGGGTGCTTGAATCTAAGAAATAAAAAACAAACAAACAAACAAACATTAAACCTGGAGTACTCACACATTAAACAACATAGTTTTATATACATTTGCATCTGTGTGCTTCCTACATTCCTGTGCCTAACTGTACCCTGGGGATAAAAAGTAACCCATGCACATTTTGTGAACTTCAGAGAAATATCTGCCACCAGAACATATTTGGCAGTAATATGTTCTTCAGGTCACAGCTCCCTCCCCCAGCTTTCCTCCTCTACATAAACTGCCTTTTCTTTTCCTTCCTTTTGAAATCTATAAAATAAACTTAAAAAGGGGTTGAGTTGGGTTTTTTGGTTTGGTGTTTTTTTTTTTTTCATTTACCCATTTTGACCAGCAAACTGCACTTTTCAACTGTGATACAAGTATTAAATTACAAACTTTGATATTTAGTATTTTTTTTAAAAAGCCGCAAATATACGTAGCACAAACCCGTGGTCAGCAATGTAAACCTGCAAAAATAAAATCAGACTGAAAGCTAATTTTTTGAGATTATTTTCTGTTTCCCCAATGTCTGTGTTATAACACAGGAAATAATCACTCATCATATACCCTCACCACAAAATTTTTTCCCCAGACATTACTGATATCCCCAAATCAAGATTAACATTCCTAGCCATTTTTTCCCCCTCTTTGCATGGAAACTGTAGTCTGTTTTGGAAATCTACTTATTCATGTACAAGACTTGAAGTACAGGGCAACAGTTGCACGAGGTCAGTGTTAGTGAGTGTATTCCAGAGTTTTACTTCTGTGCAGCAATGTACTAACACAAAATCCCAGCTAACAAAGTGTGAGACAAAAAGATCTTTGTAGAATTCATGCATTCCCTTGCATCTTGAATTTTGCTTCCATCCACCTGATTTGGAATACAGGGACTCAACCACACTCTTTAATTGAAGATTCGTTATATCTCAACTTACAGTAACGTCATTTTGGTCTATTTTATATCAAACTTATTTTATAAAACCATTTCTGCTTTACAGACATATCGTTGCCTCAAAAACTTTTGCCTTGAGAATTGTGATCTCCTTGCTTTGATGTATTTTCTGTTTCTTCCCCACTCATGAACATTTCCAGCCCATGGTTTGGATAACTAACTATGCCTCTATTACCCTTTTGTACAGCACCAGTCTGCTGGTTTGCCTGGCTGTACAATACAATTTTGTCTAAATGTTATTATTAAAGACTTGTGATTCCGACAACACCACCTTGAGGAGTCTCCAAGTTTCAATGTTGCATCTTAAGACATGTTTTAGCCTTGTGTTAAATTCTGTATCTGCAAGACCAGGTTTCTGGTTTTTTTCAGGACAGTTGTAAAAGGATATCTTGCCTTTGCTAGCCTGGATTTTGTTTTTATCAGTTCCACCCACTGGTCTTACAATGGTGTAAAGACAGAATTTCAGTCATTCATATGTTATTCCCTTAAACCATTACCCATATTTTTCTTTTCCCAGACCTATACACATCTGGCAGACTGCAAAAAAAATGAAAATTTTTAAACCATGGCAATCACGATGAGAACCAACAGATAGCAAGTAACATTATACTTATTCAAAGTACAGAAATTATCTTGTGTAACCACAGCAAGCATCACCTTAAAGTGAGTCACTCCCCAAGCTGCAAGACCTCACTAAGAAACACTTTAGATAAAATCAAAGTGGCATTAAATTCATGCAAACTGAAGTGCCCTTAGGATTTTGTCAGTGAATAGGATGCCCCAGAGCATCACTTCTGGAAGGAGATTTCCATTACAAAGATAGAAAGAGAAAAGTACTGGAGACAGGGTTTTTAGGGGCTCTGAACTTGTGAAGACATCAGAATCCACATCCTACAACTGGCAGGGCTTTTCCATTTTGAAATACACAAATCCTGAGTTTTCAAATACTCAGGGAATTCTTGCATATGGGAGACAGAACCCTCACCCAGGTTTACAAAGAAGTACATAAGTATTTTCCCCCCAAAAACAGCAGAATATTTCATTTATCATGTATGATACCTTCCTCTATGTGGATTTAGGTGTCTAATGTTAGATTTTTGCCTGCATTGTACCTGCACACTTTGCAAAGGAAAATACCATTATGCTTTAAGAGCAAATGTCAAAGACATTTACTTTAGGTCAATAATATACAGTAAAGGCAATAAAGTACACCTTTTTTTAAAAATAACTCCATGAACAAAAAAATGGCCTTTAGCATCCAGATGAATTGATTCCCAGCAAGCATCAGAATCCTCAGATCCCTCAGAAGATAACCCAACTTGAAAGAAAAGGCAAGTCTTGTAAAGAAATCTTCCAAATTAAAAAAGTTAAATTAGAAAGCTGCTAATTTAACTTTCATGCTTTATGGATAATTCCCTTTTCACATCTGTCTACCATCTCTTAGGTGACTGCAAAATTTAAATGAGGCCATTTAATTAGATTACTTTAATCCTCCACCAAGTGCTGCAAATTAAACTTGAAAAGGGGGCTTTTTAGTTCTCTAGGAAGGGTGCTTGCTCATTTATCCTTGATTAGGCAAAGACAGCACATTACCTTCAAGAAAACTCTACTGACTGCTTAAAACACTTCAGATAATTAAATTAAAAGACAAACAATACTGTCTGTATTTTATTAGCTATTTAACTGTAACTACTGTGCCACTTTTTCAAATTTGGGTTACATTTGTTTTGTTGAAATATAATGCCATCAATAAACACCAAAACTAAACGGTATCATGTTTGGCAGATTTTTCCCAGAAAATGGGAAACTAAGTTCTCTAAAATATCCTTAATCTTGACAAATATTTACTGCTAAGGATTACAGTATCCTAACAAAGAAACTCCCTTATCAAGCACCACAGTACCTGCAAGTTATAGAATGATTTCTGCATCCCACAAAATTCAGGTTCAATGTAATTTAAATTGTAGTCTATTGTATTATAAAGAAATTCAAAGTATTTTTAGACTTAAGCAATCTATGGATTTTTTAAAACAGACATTTGGGCAAACAAGTTTTATATTCTTTGCCTTGGGAAATATATTATCTGGTGCACACAAGCCTAATCAGGAATTAAGCTAATTATAAGGAGCCTAGCCTTACATAATGATCCAGGGAAAAGGAATTAAAACTCACAGACCCTCTGAAGTATAATCTGAATTAACTGAAAAGCTGCTACATCCTTACCTTCAAGGATATTCAAGATCCTGGTGATAAGCAAAAGGATATTCATTCTCACTCTCCTTTGTACTTTCTCTATAGGATTATTTACACCTCGACAAAATCCTCCACCATTAGTTTCAACTAGAAAGCAAAACATTGACTCTCACTTCACTCCCAGGAAGGCAGTTTCCTATACAGTAGCTTCTCAGCTAAGTTCAGCTTTGCATCTGAGACTCTGCCCTACGTGTTGCAGAATGATTGTTACAGCAGAAGACAGCTTAAGGTTCATACATTTCAAAGTTTGGGCTCCTTAAAACGTTGTGATCCCTATGATCCACGCCACCAGAAAGCTAACAGCATTTTCAAGTTCCAGACTGCCATCAGTGGGACTGAATTCTTCTCCTGTTGTCACAGAAGTGTGGAATATACAGCTGCTGGATGAGGCATCTCTGACAGACTGGTGACAGGAGAGACCAATTCCATTCTGCAGACCCATTGCTATGCCAACAGCTCCAGATTTATGTTTTACTCACATGAATTTAAGTGCACGTGCATTTCAACTCTGTGCTGTGCACGCCTTACAAAACCACCTCTCTCTACATCTCTGGGTTTTAGCACCGCAGCTTCTTGTTTATTTATTTGTTTTTCTATTCAGGACACACAGTATGAAGATCTTTTCACCATTGATTTGTGATGAAACTTAAGCATAACTTAAGAACTATTTTTCTTAAAAATGTAACTAAAAATGCATTAGGGCAGTTATGTGAATATATCGTGTTTCCACCAGTGTAGGGAGGTATTGAATGTCGAAAGGGAAAATCAGGGAGGTCCCTGCAACAGATGCAGCAAAAAGCTTCTTTATCATGTACTTAAGAACACTGCAAGATGAGGAGCACGACTGCAAGTCAGTTTTAGCTTTAAGAGAACCATGGGAGCTCAGCAGAATGGAAGAAACTGGCAGGAGATCTGCTAGCAAACAACTGCTCTGAGCAGGACAAGCATTGGGGAATCAGGGATCATGAGTCCTGAGGAAGTTTTGCATGCTGTATGAATTACACTGAATCAGAATCCAACTAGAAATTCTGATGGCTCCAAGACAGAACTTTGAGTATTTACAACTGTCAAATATTTTATGTTGTTTACCCAGCACGGACTGGTTTCAGCTCAGTCAAAAACGCCAGTTCTTCTCAACTGCAAGATCCAGTAAAATTTACCAGCTCTGCAGTAAAATCCTCCAACCCTGCCTTACTCCTCCTCTCTTCAGTTTCTCCAAAACACCTCTCATCTTGAATCAATGCCCAATGCTTTATGAAGGCATCCATGAATTTTAGCCTCTCTCCCTTTCCTATGGCCAAGCTGCAGTGGTTAACAGCAGCTTCCTTGACAGTCTGCTTTCTGAAGGTACCATTGCCATGAAGCACGGCAAGAAATTCCAAGACAGTGCTTATTGTTCTATTTCTCTGCAATCACCTTGTTCTTCTGTCTGAAGTTATGAGATTCTGCTTTCAGATCTCAAGACAGCTTAGAGGCAAGTCGTTTTCTATTCTTCCTCCCTCAAGCTTATGATGTTCTACCCACTTGTAAAGGTAGATCTATCAAGCACCAAGCAAACCAGTTATCCAAGCTGCTCTTGTGCTGAATTTTACTTACTGTCAGTCAGAATGCACTGGGACAAAGAACACGATAATGAGTAGAGATAAAGGGAGAATAAAACAAGAAAAACGTCATGAAGAGATTGAGGTTTCTGTATTTCTAACACTGAACAATATCTTCAGTCAATACAGCAAAAAATATGACATCTCTTGCCATCTTTAAAGGCGTTGCTGTTATTGATCAGAAC